ACTGCAGGAAAGTGGGCTTCCCCCTGGTTTGTAGAGCCCCCATGCATTTGAGGGATGACTGTCAGCATTACAAATAATGCACAAAGAAGCAACGAGGTCATCCCCCGGGCCCCATTTCAGCCTGGCATGGAAGCTCACGAACATTGCCATATTGACATGAGCACATCCCCTCTTCACAAGTTTAGGCATGACTGGTTCCCTGGCAAATACGGATAAAGCAAGCAACGCATCAAACCATAACGGCAGAGTATCCCCCTGTTTATGTCATGCCCCCCAAGGATGAAACGCAACATGGCTGAGTGGGACAGTGCCTGTAGAACTCGACAGTACACAAGACGCTGAGAACAGGATTACCACTAGCCGCGCAAAGGCCCCCAGGCTGCCACTCAACACTACTCAAGGTGGAGGCGTATCAGGAGCGACGTCCCCTCCTTTGATTGGAGAAGAAAAGGGCTCCCCCGACAACGCACTGCCTAGGCAAAGAAAGGGCTTCCCCCGTTTCAGTACTCGACGTGGTGCGAACTCAGTTCTTCTGGAGAGCACGGCTCGGCGTAGCGGAGGGCGGCTATCTCCCCCTGTTAGCCTCTTCCTTTTTGTTCTTTTGCTCACTCCTGTCTTTTCCCCCGCCGCCATGAGGGCTGCCACTCTGGCTGTCTTCTCCTTGAGGTTCTCCCCCGGCCGCGAGTCCATGGCAGTTGAGACACGCATCAGCTTTGCAGCCAAACTACCGAGAGGGAAGGCATTCGTGGTGGAGGCCCCTCGTTCTGTTCCCCCTGATTGCTGCGGAGGTGGAAGCTTTACCGCGCGCCCTCCCTCTCTCTCTCTCTCTCTCTCTCTCTCTCGCTCGCTCGTCTACCTCATGGCCAAAGAGCCGAAGATATGAGCACCGCGCCCTGGAAAGGAATCTGGGCGACAACATTGACAAGGATTTCAAATGCTCCAAGGCACTTTAGGGGCAAGGCCGCCCTGTAACTAGAAAGCCTATAGACCTTCGTCTCTTTCGTCTCCCCGTCTCGATCAAAATCTCTCCAAGCAACCACCGCCTTGGAAGGCAGCGCACTTCTTGCAGCGCCGGGGCCTCCGAGAACTGCCGAGAACATCTGCAAGTAAAACTAGTGCAATCCACGACAAACAGCCCGAACTGCCACAATCACACATTTTTCTTTCGGGCACATGTGCTTGCAGACCTCGTCATCGGTCGTGCACAGCATGCCGCACGCCGTGAAGTCCGGTGATGGGGGCACCGGTGCCCAAATGTACCTTTCTGAACTTCTGAGAATAAACTGCTGCAGATAGAGTGGAATGCAGCCGTTATAAACCTCACGAAGCTCTCATGACCTCACAGGAGTTTTTGCAAATGCACCAGTAACGAAGACAGACCACTTCCGAATGTCAGACCCCCTGCTTGTGCCAAGTCACACAGACTTCAGCGCTGACTCTTTCAAGTGCCTGAGCAAGATTTCTCACTGCAGGCCTCTCTGCCGACCCTCAAACGAGTCGCAAGAACCAGCACCCTGCGCATGCGCACCAAGGCTTGCTTTGTCAGGTTGCGGATTCAAAGCCCTGGCCTAGATCAGGCACCGACGATATGCTGATATGGCAAAACAAAGACAGCATGCTCGAAAGACCTTCAGGACTGTGGATCGTGCGCAATCTCCTTCAGTGCACATCAAACTGAGATGAGCACCAAACTTGCCGGAAGCGAATCGGATGTGGAAAGTAAGTATCCAGGAAACGGTTGAGTTCGTCCTTCGATTCGGCAGCTTTGTGGGAGCAGCGGTGAGCTCCCAAGGCAAGGAAGCTTCGTCCTACTGGCTCCGTATACCTGAATATAGAGACCCGCTCCGAAGGAATCCACAAATTGTCGGAGGTCTCTGTTGGAAAGGATAGATCGCAGCAGGAAGCATCAGCAAGAAGCGAGGCAAGGGCAAGTTGAGGCTGATGTGAGCATTGCGATTCGGGTATCACTCTCTCTGCGCAACCATTTCGTAACGAAAAGGATCAACACTCGTCACTCGTATGCCACATTATGCTACGTTGCAGGTTGTCAGGTAGCCTGCTAGAGTCTTCTGGAAGGCTCATACGAGTGGCAACAGCGAGCTCAACGCCCAGTCCCGTGGATGCTTCGCAAAGAAGCCACTGTACTGCTCATCCGTGATCTGTCAAAGCCGGACAGCAACGGCACGTCATGAATTCCCCTTGTTGTCTAAATTCCGAGGAGAACCCCGAAACCATAGCTGGAAACGGATCCCGGGCTGACGCTAGCCGCTAGCTACTAAATTTATTTTGGGATACAAACACCTCAAGAACTTCGCTACACACTCACACAAAAAGACACAACAACAAGAACACTGCTGATCCCTGCCGCTGCAGCGCCATTGCTCAAACAGATGCTTGCTCATTACATCATCATGTTGAGACAGACCACGGCCAGGGGCTCATTAGGCTTCGCTCTCGTTCAAGTCTGCATCTACAATGTCTACAACATCTGACAGCCTGATGCCGGCTCCTTGCTCATTCAGTACTGCCTCCATTCTTAGGCAGGCAGCACCGCGAACCCAAGACCCCGTGAATCTGCATCTGCATAAATACAAACGAAAATCAAGACACGGACTCGGATTCTCTGAAAAGATCCTGTTGACGGGCCTCCAACAAGTCCGTCACTGGCGGTGAAGGGCTCATGCTGACCTGAGTTTCTTGGATCCAAATTGTCGCGCTTTTGGGCAGATCAAATGCTACCGGCTACGAACGTCCGCGGTCCGGGCATAATGTCCAAACGAAAGCCTCTCTTTGACTGCATGGGAGCCTGCGGGCGACCCAAACCAGGTGCAATCTCTGCACAGCCCTGACCAGCCTCGCTTCACGCCCAGAAACTTTCCGCGTGGAACGAGCCTCGGGACAGCGCTTAGAGGCTTATAGTCAAGGCCAAACTTCAAGCATTGCCTTTCTGTCTGCAGGCCCGAGAGCCGAGGGGGTGTTCCTCCCTGGGTTGGGTCGGCTCTGGGTCACTTCTTGACTCCTGCGCTCGCGGATCGGGCCTGGTTCTGGTGAGAGGGTCGCCGCAGGAAGAGCAGATGATCTCGTGGACAGGAGTTTGACAGTGCGCTTTGGCACAGGTCCGCATCCTTGCCCATCTGCTAGGTCCTAGTCCTACAATAAGCCCACGGTGTACCTAGTGTGATAATGCAACAATCAAATTGCTGAGCTCAGGCCCCAACTCAACTGGCGCCCAAATCGCAAGGGAAGGCTTGGCACCCATATCGTTGGCGAACCACACCGGGTGGAACCTGCCATGCCGTCATGACTCCCTATGCTGGCTTGCGACAACGAAGATACCTGCTGATACCTGCTGATTGACATCAGCTGGCAAGCCCTGATGCTCTCACAGACTGAGCTCACAGGACTCACATTTCGCACAAGATCCTGAAACTACCCTGAATCCCAAGCCCGCAGCCATGAATCCTGAACTTCCGATCTCAGGTGCCCCGGCGCAGAATGCTTTTGCCACTTGTGCTTGAAACGGCCAGCCTCGTGTTGCAGAGGCAGCTCCGAGGTAGAAACTTGCGGCTCGGATGGGGTTTCGGGATGCTTCGGGCTTCACGGGCAGCGGATGGCTGAACAGGCCATGAATCTCAGGCAGAAGCCGACAGCTGCCGACACATGTCCGGCGAGAGCCGAGAAACCTTGAATCTCGTCTGACGAGGAAACATCCAAAGAGTTGGCCCAAGATCAAGATGCAACATCCGCGCGCGTACGCCACCGAAAGGATAGCAAGGTAGCATCCAATTGCCCATTACATTACATACTGCTCAGTCTGGAAAGCATGCGCGCCCCATGACTCGAGAGCAGTTCGTAGCACCGTTGTAGCTGCAGCTGGCAACCTCCAGATTTTCGACAGCTATGCATTCCGAGGGATTTGCACTGCCCTCCGGTGAGCAGCTCGGTGTGCGCGGCCTGCGACTTATCCAGGCTTGGGGCGTGGCCGTGGGTTCCATATGGGCACCTCCGCCGTGCTACCAGTGGGTCTTCGTGTCGGGCTCAGAATGCATTTAGCCCCATGTGACATCCCCGTCCTTGTCAAGGGTGATGCCGTAACTGGTGAAGCGGGATAGTCCTGCCGAGAAGCGAGGCTGCCGCTTCAGAGAGCTGCCGGGCTTTCAACACAGGCTTGGTGGGCTTGCGAGAGAAGCAGGAAAGTTCAACTTACCTGAGCAAACACTTCGGACAGACCGTAGGCCGTCATCCGTGTGGCCGAGGGGTGTCAAGCATGCTGATGACCCCACTCGGCCCTGCTCGAAGATTCACGAACATGGGCTTGATGCATGCTGTCACGCACTACAAGCTATTGTTGCAACAAGCCTCGTTGTCCCGACTACAAGCTATTGAAAGCTGGACCGCACTGACTTGTGTCTACTTTCAGGGTCTATGCCGAGCCCCGGCCGAGGCTCCGGCGGATCTCTCCTCGGCGGTCTTGGTAGGTGCAGGACGTGCTGGATCTGCGGGAGACGACGGAAGAGATCAAGATCGAAACAGAGCATTCATGAGGCCTTCTTCCGCTGCACTTTTCCTTGATGGCTCGGACGTCGGGGCTGGAGGAGTTGCAGCCTCCGCCTGCAAATGCAAACCAGGGTGTGAGATTCGATCTAAGCCTCCGGCATGCACACTCTGCAGAACAAGGGGATTCCGTGCAGGGTTAGATTAAGGGTTCCCTTCAGGGCTCCCGCTCCTGTTAGGGTTCCAGATGGCGTTTATGGTTGTCCCAGGATAAGGGCTCTTTGAGGTTTTGCGAAGTCTCCATAAGGGCTGTATACGGGCTCGAGCTGATCCAGTCAGCAAACTTCTGTTTAATCGAGGCGTGGGATTTGGGGTCGTCCTTGAGGGCGGAGCGCCTTCTACACAGGCTTGATTGGAGCTCGCCCGGCCAATTTCCC